GCGAACGTACGAGGGTCGTATTTATCTATTCGTGCAGTGTCTCTACGGTGATAAGCGTGACTAAATTCCTGGAAATCGTTTTTCACGGTGCAACGACTGCGTCAATTAGTCACGTCGATGTTAATGATGAAACATTGCGAACAACGAACGATATAATCGAGATAACGAACGATAGTTTAAAACGCATCATCTCCGAAAAAAAGCGCGGGATAATTGCGTTGCACCGATCGGATCAACGACTCGATTTCGAGACAATGAATCCACCGAGCTAACGAACGATGAGGCAAGAGATAACGATCCGGTTTAGAAGGTCGATACTTGGAATGGAACACAAGCTCGAAAGGGGTTAGTTCAGGGACTTCCTTTGAAAGAGTAGAACTGGGTTTCCAGGTAAATGAGCGATAGAATTCCGCAGTGGCGGACGCGCGCGTTCCTACGGCTCGCGCCGATTTCGGTGAACCGTGCCGATTTTCGAGAAACGCGGAAGCCTAGTAGAAGGGTGACGGTGTTGCCTTTCACGCCGCGCTCTTCCGTCCAAGAATTCTGTCGAAGCACACCGATATGTCGGATTCATTGCGCAATTCGACGAACCGAGCCGCCGCCGCCGTTCTACCGATCGATGCGGCAATGATTCCACCGATATCCATTTCCCGGTTCCTTTTCTGGCTGCAAGACTATTCCTCCACCAAGTGAGTCTTCGTCCACAGAATCGTCCACATAGAAATCGTGGAGAAATTGAAACAGTGAACGTCGATGTGAGGCAAGAGACGAGATCGCACTGGTTTACGCAATGAGCAGAGCGCGTGGCCAGGCAACCGCGTCGATAAAACCACGCCACTCTCGTATAAAACGAAACGTATAAATGGAAACGATCATAGCGTGTCGACGATTATTCACGCTCTCGCCATTCGTTATCGGCAGATTACCCACGCGGCCGGTATTGACGAATGGATTAACGTCGTGGGTTTGCTTAACGCGACCGATAAGGAGCCGATAAGGGACACGTAATTGCGACGAAGCGGCTGCCGACACTTGTCGCGGCAGGAGGTCTTCACACACAGCCATCGTTGTCGTGTTTCTATCGACGTGGCGTTGAATTGTGAAAAGCTCGAACAGCCGCTGCTTTGCATACAGCATGGCACGTGCAATCGCGCGAAATCGAATGTCACGTTTCCACGTTCCTCGTTTCAGCGTAGTTCCCTTATCATCATCGGCCCTAGGGCTGTTCCGCTTGTTAGACGTTTCGTCTCTTTCATTCGGCCGCGTTTTATTTCGTTTTATTTCTCTCCGTGCGATACGTACGTTCGGCTTTCCCATCCGAGGATTGAGTAAATCTGGTCACGTCGAAGCCGAATGTGGAGAGCGGAATGTGCGCGACGCTCGCGACCGCGAGGGATACGGAGCGTTATCTCGCGTCCCAAGCCGATCCGTCGCCGCTTTATCTTCCGTGTGCAAAGAAACGACCGGCTCCCCCGCTTGCTTGATACCGCATGAAAACTCGAAGACTGGCCGTATTTACAGAGAACTTTTCTCGAAGCGAGGCACCGGCCCGTACAAAGGATCCTCCTCTCACCGCTTGGCCGGCCGGCTGCTACAGGTTACTTTCGTGTAAACAGCCAGCTCCTCCCGAGCCAGCCTCGGCCCTGTTATCGCCGGATTATTTCTTTCATTCGTTCTCGACTTAGGCATACTAAGAATAAAATATGCACGGACCCGTTTCTTCAGGACCCCTCGCGTTTCCTCGCCACCCCTCGGCCCTTCTTCGATAATTAGACCCGTTAATTGCGAAACATCGTCCCTCTTTCAGCTCCCGAGCCACGCTGTACACTCTGATCTTGACGAGAGAAAGAGAGAGAGAGAGAGAGAGAGAGAGAGAGAGAGAGA